AAAACAAACAAACAACTTAACAAAACCAACCAATTCCACTCCTAGGTATATACCTAAAAAGACTGAAAATCTGTCCGTGCAAAACCTTCCACATGAATGATCCAAGCGGCACTAGTCATGTGAGGCAAAAAGTGGAAACGATCCAAATGTCTTTGAAGTGCTCAATGGGTACACGAAGCATGGTGTATTCATACGTGAAATATCATGCAGCCATGAAATGGACAAAGTTCCAGTACCTGCTACAAGGTGGATGAACTTTGACAACCAGAGTGTGGGGGCAGCTGTCCGGCCTCAGTCAGAAGAGTGCGCGAGCCTCTTGAGCCTCTTGATCTCGGGGTCATGAGTTCAAGCCCCATGTTGGGTATAAAGATTACTAAATAAATAAAAACAACACAGTACGCTAAGTGAAATACCGACACAAGAGGTATGAACCCTCTTATATAAAAAGTCTAGGATAGGCAGATCTTTTATTTTTTAAAAAGTTTTAATGTTTACATTTTGAGAGAGAGAGTGAAAGGGAGTGTGCCAGGGGGCAGGGCAGAGAGAGAGGGAGACACAGAATCTGCAGCAGGCTCCAGGCTCTGAGCTGTCAGCACAGAGCCCAACCCGGGCCTCGAACCCACAAACCACGAGACCCTGACCTGAGCTGAAGTCAAACACTTAACCCACTGAGCCACCCAGGTGCCCCTCAGTCAGAACTCTTGATCTTGGGGTCATGAGTTCCAGCTCCACACTGGGTGTAGAAATTACTTAAATAAATAAAACTTAAAAAAAAAAAAACAACAACCTAAAAACAGCCTAAATGCTAAATGTTGGTCAGTGGAGAACTGGTTAAATCTTTATAGTGTGAACTGAAATAGCCTTCAGAATATATTCTTAATGACCTCAGTACAAAATAAATTATAAAAATGTAAGATCGGAGCGTTCTGATTCAAAAAGTTCTTAACTGGAACAAGAAAGGTAAAAAAACAAAAACATTGGTCATCTGCTCTTCTTTCTATTAAAAAGAAAAACAGTTTGTACATATTTGCCTAAAGCTATGTAAATTCTCCCTGGGAAGAAACACTGGCTGCCTGTGAGGAGGCGAACTTGCTGGAAGAAAGACTCATTTTTAGCATGTAACATCTTGTACATTTAGAATTTTGTATCCTATGAGTATACTGCCAAAATTTAAAAATAAAATGTGCAAAAGACAAAAAAAAAAAAAAAACTGGGGAGAGGCAGTAAGGGTGACTAGGTGCAGGACATCTTTCTGTAATAGGCTGTTCTATACAAGTAATTTGTTACTGTGTGTGAGTATTATTTTGATTTTTTAAAAAAAATTTTCAAACGTAGCTGCCAGAGAGCTACAAATTTGCCCTACTCTTTCATAAAGCAGTTCTCCACTAGGGGGCAGTATGTTACCTTAATTAAAGGCTTAGAGAAGGACGCCTGGGAGTCTCAGCCTGTTAAGCATTTGACTTCAGCTCAAGTCATCATCTCAGGGTTCCTGAGTTCAAGCCCCACATGGGCTCTGTGCTGAGAGCTCAGAGCCTGGAGCCTGCTTCAGATTCTGTGTCTCCCCTCTCTACCCTTCCCCCCCAACTCTCAAAAAATAAAGATTTTAAAAGCTTGGATTCAGACATACTTGGTTTCAAATTCCAACCCTACCACAGATAACAATTATAAACTCTGGATAAAACAGAAAACAATTACCCAAAGGCACTAGAAACTCAACAAAACCATGCAGAAACTGGAGGGATAATGACAATAAAAAAGAAAAGCTGTGGGTGGGTTTCTCATTTGTATAGCCTGGGGGTGGGTTCTAGTCCCCGCCAGAGGGGCAGCTAAAATACTTCCTAGCTTGAAGCACCAGAACAACAGGAAAGTAAGGTACAAATACTGGAAATTCGGGGAGTGGGGTGGGGTGCACTCCAAATATTTTTATAAAAACTCTGCTCAAATATCTACCTGACCCTGAACCACACCCACATGGGGTACACTCCAGGAAGCCCAGCGAAACCTAAAAAATGTGAACCTAAATGTGGGGTACAAATTTCATAGGAGGGAGTTTTACAGAGATTACAGTTTGAGTTTAACAAAGCTAATGGGTTGCTTACAAAAAAATAATAATAATCAACTCTTCAAAGGAACATAACAGACTCCAGAATTTCTACAGTGTATCCAGGATACACTCTAACATTACTCAAAATGGAAACATAGGAAAATGTGACCCATTCTCAAGAAAAAAGGAAGGAACCTAAGACCAACACCCAAATGACCCCTATATAGGAATATAAATATATATATGTATGTATATATCACTGTTATAACGATGCTCAAGAACCTAAAACAAAGTGTATTTCTTTTTTTTTTTAATGTTTTTTTTTTATTTATTTCTAGGAGAGAGAGAGAGACAGCATGAGCAGGGGAGGGTCAGAGAGAGACGGAGTCACAGACTGAAACAGGCTCCAGGCTCCGAGCTGGCAGTCAGCACAGAGCCCGACGCGGGGCTCGAACCCATGAACCGCGAGATCATGACCTAAGTGAAAGTCGGACGCTTAACCGACTAAGCCACCCAGGCACCCCAACAAAGTATATTTCTATTTTAGGGGCACCTGGGTGGCTCAGTCGATTAAGCATCCAACTTTGACTCAGGTCAATGATCTTATGGCTGATGAGTTTGAGCTCCACATGAGGCCTCACATTGACAGTTCAGACCCTGCTTCAGATCCTCTGTTTCCCTCTCTCTCTGCCCCTCCCTGACTAGCGCTCTCCCTCTCAAAAATAAACATTAAAAAAAGTATGTTTCTCGACAGAAATCTTGGAGAAATAAAACAATAAAAAAGAATGGAACAGAAATTCTAGAACAAATAAGTAAATAAATTTAGCAAGTTCACTGGATACAAGTTTCATGTACAAAAATAATTGTATTTTATATTGTAGAGACAAGAAATTAGAATATGAAATTTAAAAATAACTTCACTTACAATAACATGAAAACCATAAAATACTTAGGGATAAATTTAACAAAAGATGTAAGACCTTTATTCTGACAACAACAAAACTGACTGCTGAGAGGGTGCCAACACCTGTATCACTGGAGAAATATACTATGTTCATGGATTGGAGGATTTAATATGTTAGGATGCCAGTTCTCCCCACATTGGTCTATAGGTTTATACTCTCACCCTGGATTAGTTCCATCTTTTCCCCCAGAAGAAAAACAAAAAATCATCAAATATGAGGGATTTATGACTTAACCTAGAAAGATTTTCTTTTCAATTTTATGTATTGTTTTAATGTTTATTTTTGAGAGAATAGTTTTAAAGTAACTTTTGAATTGAGGTCTCTTATGCATTAAAGTGCACACATAACACATGGACAGCTGGATGAATTTTTCCGGCTGAGCACCTCAGAACGAGTAGTACCCAGATCAAGTTCAGCCCCCTAGACCCCGCCCACTCCAGTCCTCCCCACCAAGGGGGTGTCCATCATGATCCCTAGGTTAGTTTTGCTTCACTTCTTTTCCTCAGTGTAACATTTGTGACATCCCTCCTCAGTGCAATTGGGGGATTTCAGATCATTCTTTTTAAAAAGATGTTTATTTTGAGAGTGGAAGATCACCCAAGTAGGTGACAGGCAGAGAGAGAGAGGGACAGAGAGAATCCCAAGCAGGCTCCACACTCAGCACAGAGCTGGACGCAGGGCTTGATCTCACAATCGTTAAGATCATGACCTGAACTGAAATCGAGGGTTGAATGCTTAACTGACTGAGCCACCTAGGAGCCCCAGATCATTCTTTTTTATTGCTGTGACGTCCACCAGGTGAAGGCCCCATGGTGTATTTACTGGTTCTCCTATGGATGAGCACATGGGCCATTTCCGGTTTGTGGCTATTACGGTTAAAGCTGCTACAAACCTTCTTTTGGTGACCTTTTCATATATCCTTTGGAAGCTCTAGAGAATTTAACCAGTGGGTCTCATTGGGCTGCGCAAGGACTAGATGCCTGTGACGTCTGTCCTTCTGCCCCAACTCAGCAGCAAAGACTGTGTTATAACCCAAGCCGGCTCACATCTACCCTCTAACTCAAGACCTTCAAGGAGCTCCCAGCTGGAGTGTAAATTCTGTCCTCGCCTCTCTGGTTCTCTGGCTGTAACTATCTTGTCCCACCGCAAAGGGACCCTGATGACCTGTCCACAGGACCCCATATGACCCGATCCCAGCTCCCCGTTTGCCCTCACCTCTCTGCCTCCCCCCTTGCTGACTCCATTCCAGTCACATGGACCTCCTGGCTGACACAGACAGACAGACAGACAGACAGACAAACAAACACACACACACACACACACACGGCACACTGGCTTCGGGGCCTCTGTTCTTGCGGTTCCCTCTGTCTGTCTGGTTCTCCAGATGTCCCCAGTGCCTACTTCCTCATTCTGTTCACCGGTGAGGCCCCTCCCTGCCGCTTGGCTAACAGCACTGCCGCTGCCGTGGGCTCTGCAGAGGGTAGAGCTCCAGGAATGCCCTCAAAAGCTGTCAACGCCCAGAGCCGCCTCTTCAAACGCCTGTCCCCTCCTTCAGCCCACGGTCCCCCCACCAGCTCCCAGCCACAGCCCCCAGTTCCTCCCCAAGGCTCCGGCCAACCCCTTAGAGACACACAGACAAGGCCCCAGCACTGGAATTTATTGCCTCCCTGGCAGAGGAGACATTTGGGGGCAGTGCCGGCGGGCGGGTGAGTCCACAGGGCGGGGGGGGGGGGGGGGGGGGGGGGTTCTCTGCTGTGGGGTGTGAGGCTCAGATTCGGAGCGGAGCAGTCAGTGGAGGCTCCTAAAGGCTGAGCTTGGCACCGGGTGGGGGGGCCCTGGGCTGGGCTGGGGGGTTCTGCCAGTGAGAAGTAGGTGGTCACTCCGCTTTGGGTCTGTGAGACCCTGGGGGGGGAGGGGCTGCAGTGTCTTGGAGAAGTTTGACCTGGTGGGTCCCTGAGAGCCCAGGGGGAGAGGAACGCGGGGCTGTGTGGTCATATCCCGCAGGTCCAGATGGGGAGGGGGGGCCTGGCCACTTCTGCAGAGCGGCCCCCTCCGCGCACCTTGTCGGTGTCGCTCTCGTGCAGCAAGTGATTGGCCTCCACCAGTGGCTGGTCCTGGGCCGGGGGCAGCACCCAGTGGCCGACCTCGCTGCCGTCCAGCCGCCCGTCCTTGTTCAGGTCGCGGAAGTCCCGGAACTGCTCCCGCTCTGTCTGCACCCAGGCCGGCTCCTCCTCCCCCGGCTCAGCCGAGTACAGATCCGCTGGGTCGGGCGACAGGGGGGGCGACAGGGGTGACGTCAGGCGGTTCGGCCCGGCGAGCGCCTGGGGCTCCGTCCCGACCCCTCCTGACAGCGGGACCCCGGAGCTTTGCTTTCTCTGGCCAGGTTCCCTCTACGGTCTGAAAGGGACTAACAGCAACCTGACTTGATTGGTCCATCATTTCCCGGCCTGTAGTCAGCCTGGCCCACACGTGAAATGCTGTGTGCCGCCCTCAGAACATCTCACCCCACTTCCAGAACCTTCCTCAAGGGGCGCCTGGGTGGCTTCGTTGGTTGCGCACCCACTCGATTTTGGCTCAGAGTACGATCCCGAGGTTTGTGAGTTCGAGCCCCACACTGGGCTCCACACAGAGCCTACTTGGGATTCTCTGTCTCTTCTCTGTCCCTTCTCTGCTCACTCTCTCTCCCCCAAAAAATAAATTAAAAAAAAAAATTTTACTGTTAAAAAAAAAAAAAGATTTGGGGCACTGGGTGGCTCAGTTGGTTAAGCGCCCGACTCTGTTTCAGCTCAGGTCATATCTCACAGTTCGTGGGGTCCAGCCCTGCATCAGGCTCAGTGCTGACAGCTCAGAGCCTGCTTGGGATTCTCTCTCTCCCTCCCTCTCTTTGCCTCTCTTTCAAATAAATAAACTTAAAACAATTAATTTTGTTCCCTCTCTCTGCCCCTCTCACTTGCACAAGCATTCTCTCTCTCAAATAAAATAAAATAAAATAAAATAAAATAAAATAAAATAAAATAAAATAAAATAAAGTAAAATAAAATAAGAACCTCCCTCAAGATTGCTGGAGCCTCTTGTTTGTTTCACTTGTTTGGAAATGTGTGACAAACTCTCCCCCAGAGGCCGGCTTCAGGAAAGCAGTCCTCGGATGCTCTGGGGACACATTCCAACCAGACAAGCCTTTTTACACAAGACTATGACACATAATACAAAATGCTTCCCTCCCCTCAGGGACCAGGCCAAGGAGCTGTCACAAGGATGTCACCAGAGATGGAGCAGGCATTGGACACTCAGTCAGCCTTTTGGAACAGTGAATGCAGAGTTTTGTTTTGTTTTGTTTTTTTAATGTTTTTTTTTTTTTATTTTTTATTTATTTCTAGGAGAGAGAGAGAGAGAGACAGCGTGAGCAGGGGAGGGTCAGAGAGAGAGGGAGTCACAGACTCCGAAACAGGCTCCAGGCTCTGAGCTGGCAGTCAGCACAGAGCCCGACGCGGGGCTCAAACCCACGAACCGCGAGATCATGACCTAAGCGAAAGTCGGACGCTTAACCGACTAAGCCACCCAGGCGCCCCACAGAGTTTTGTTTTTTTTTAATGGCCCTAAATCCTTGTTTCTCACAGGGAATGATGGCAAAGGTGAATGGGAGGTGTGTAGGCTTTTCTTTTTAATTGTGGGAGAAAAATTAAAAATTCAAAAGATTAAAAACATCCATTTAAAAATACAAAATTAGGGGCGCCTGGGTGGCTCAGTCAGTTAGGCTCCGACTTCAGCCCAGGTCATGATGTTCAGCCCATGCAATTCATGGGTTCAAGCCCTGCACTGGGCTCTGTGCTGACAGATCAGAGCCTGGAGCCTGCTTCAGATTCTGTGTCTCCCTCTTTCTCTGCCCCTCCCCTATTCATGCTCTGTCTCTCTCTCTCTTAAAACTAAACATTTTAAAAATAATAATGATGGGGTCCCTGGGCAACTCAGTTGGTTAAGCACCTGAGTCTTGATTTAATCTCAGGCCATGATCTCATGGTTTGTGGGTTTGAGCCCCGTGGATGGCTCTGCACTGACAGCATGGAGTCTGCTTGGCATTTTCTCTCTCCCTCTCTCTCTGCCCCTCCTTTACTCATGCTCTCTCTCTCTCTCAAAATAAATAAATAAACATTTTTTAAAAAACTACTCCCTATCCTACCCTCTACCTCCCTCCAGCCCCTGGCAACCAGTCACCTACTTCCTGTGTGTATGACTCCTCTTCTCCTGAACACTTCATATAAATGGAGTCAGACAATATTGTGGCCCTTTGCCTCTGGTTTGTTTCAGTTAGCATAGTGAATTAATTTTTTTTTAAAAATGTTTAATGTTTTATTTATTTTTGAGAGAGAGAGAGAGACAGCTGTGAGTAGAGGAGAGGCAGAGAGAGAGGGAGACACAGAATCAGAAGCAGGCTCCAGGTTCTGAGCTGTCAGCACAGAGCCTGACGCGGGGCTCGAACCCAGTAACTGTGAGATCATGACCTGAGCCAAAGTCGGATGCTTAACCGACTGAACCACCCAGGTGCCCCAGTGAATTAATTTTTTAATTTTTAAAAAATGTTTATTTATTTTGAGAGAGCGCAAGAGAGCAAGAGCAGGGGCGGGTCAGAGAAAGAGAGCATCCTAAACAGGCTCCGCGCTGTCACCCCAGAGCCCTACGGAGGGGCTCAAACTCGCGAACCGGGAGATCCTGACCCAAGCGGAAATCAAGAGGCTCAACAGACTGAACCAACCAGGGGCCCCTATTTTCTTATTTAAGTATAGGGACACACAACGTTACTTTAGTCTCCTGTGCAACACAGCGACTTGGCATACTGTTCCGCAGATCTACACCCTTCGTAGCATGTGTTAGTGCTTCATCCTTTTTTATGGCTGAGTAGCATTCCGTTGCCTGGACAAACCTTTCGTCCGTGCGCTCAGGGGCATCTGGGCTCACTGGACGTGACTGCACCTGCTGGGTGCTCTACTACCGCCTTTATAGGCAAGGAGACCGAGGATGACCCGCTCATTTACGGTCCCGCGGCTGGGAGGTGGCGGGTGGGAAGCCCACAGCCTGGAGCACGGCGCACCCCCTCCCGCCTTCCCTGTCGCGCTGCCGCCGCCCCTCCTGAGCTGGGTCAGAGCCCGTGGCACCCCCTCAGCACCCCTCCTTCACGTTCTTCCGCGAACCATTCAACAGTCGTGAAGTCACAGGTGTCTGGGAAGTCCAGGGCTCCTACCCGCACCCGTTTCTCCAGACCCCCACAGGGAAGAGAGGCAGCCTCGGGGGTCCGAGTGGGACCCTGGGCTCGGCCAGCCTGCACTGATGTCCCGCTCCCCCGCCCCACAGTCACGTATCTATCCCTTCAGGCCTCAGCTTCCTCATCTGTGATCTGGGGAATGATCTCCATCTCGTAGGGGTGATGTAGGCATTCGATGAACGTACGAGGTGTTAACCGCTCAGAACAGAGGCTGGCGTGTGGTAATGACAGGGCAGCAGCTTTTGTTATTAGTCAGCAATGAGGCCGGAGTTCTTTCTTACCAGGAAGGAAAAACAAAGACTTCTATCCTCCTCATAGATGTAAAAAAAAATGAATTGTGCTTAAATAAAAGTGTATAGGGGCGCCTGGCTGGCTTCGTCGGTAAAGCATGTGACTCTTCTTGGGGTCGTGAGTGCCAGCCTCATGTTGGGTATAGAGACTATAAATAAATAAACTTAAAAAAAAAATGCCTTGGCGCACTTGGTCGGTCATGGTCTGACTCTTGGTTTCGGCTCAGGTACTGACCCCACGGACATGAGATCGAGCCCTGAGTCAGGCTCCGCACTTACGTAGCAGTGTGGGTGGAGCCTGCTTGGGCATCCCTCTCTGTACCCACCCGCCACCTGGGCCCCTCCCCCACTCATGCTCTCTCCCGTGCTCTCTTTCTCTCTCTGACCCTCCTGATTGTGCCGACACTCCAGACCCTCCCAGGAAGGGGCCCGGTGTGTGGCATTCTCTGCTGTATCCTCAACCACTAACATGCAGTAGGTGTTCAATCAATGCTTCCTGGTCCTGGCACACAGTAGGTGCTTGATAAATGTTTTTTTGGCCTGCCACATAGTAGGCGCTTGATAAAAATTGGCTAGGCCCAGCAAATATGTGTGCTCAATGTCTGCTGGGCCTGACACACGGCGGGTGATCAATAAATACGCTTGGGGCCCAGCACACAGTAGGTGCCTAAGAAATGTTTGGTGGCTACGTGAACTCAAGCAGTGGCCCTGCCCCCACTTCAGAGGGCCATTGCTCTCCTGTGGGTGATATACACTGGGCTGTTTGGGAGGAGACAAGCGTCCTCAGGGAAGGCATCGGGTTCAACTCACCAATGTACTCCTCCACTTGGACGTAGCCGTCTTTGTTCTTGTCCAGATCCTCCAGGGTTTCCTGGGGAGAGAGGCACTGGGTCAGGCTCGGGCGGGGAGCCCTGGGCTTGGGGTGTGAAGTTCTCTCCGGGAATCTGGTTCTGGCTCGGCTGAGTGGCCAGGGATCAGTGCAGCACACCGTCTACCTGGCCCGGGGTTCGGGGCGGCTTTCTGGGCTTTGTGATGATGCCGACCTACCTGGGTGGGGGCCAGGGGACCTGGATGCCCCGTGACACACAGGACACACAAGGAGATGTGTTCTGCATCCGTAACACTCTTCTCACACCCGACAGCGGACTCTCCAAGGGCTGAAGCCTCTTTCCACTTAGCAGAGCCCAGACCTTAGCTCAGGTTTATGTATAAATAGGACATGGGGGACCATTGTAACACATAATACCTCTGCTCTTGGTTTTTTCTCCACTTCTTTTTTTTTTTTTAAGTTTTTAATTTATTTTTGAGAGTGTGTGAGAGAGAGCGCGCGCACAGGCAGAGGAAGGGCAGAGAAAGAGAGAGAGAGAGACAATCCATAGCAGGCTCTGCACCATCAGCAGAGAGCCCAGTGCGGCGCTGGAACCCAGGAACCACAAGATCATGACCTGAGCGGAAATTGTGAGTTGGATGCTTAACCCACTGAGCCACCCCAGTACCCCTTTCTCTACTTCTTGAGCAAACAGCTTCTGTTCCCCACTTTTACTTTTTTTTTTTTTTTTTTTTTAAATTTCTGAGAGAGACAGCGCGAGCAGGGGAGGGTCAGAGAGAGAGGGAGACACAGAATCTGAAACAGGCTCCAGGCTCCAAGCTGTCAGCACAGAGCCCGACGCGGGGCTCGAACTCACGAACTGTGAGATGGTGACCTGAGCAGAAGTCAGACACTTAACCAACTGAGCCACCCAGGCGCCTCCCCACTTTTACTTTCAAACTCACTCACTCTAAGACAGTGCTGGGTCTGACACCCCACTATGTCTTCTAGCAAAGACAGCTCCAACATTTTAGGGTTGCCAGAAAAAATATGGGATGCTCACTTACATTCAACTTTCAGATGAACAAGTAATAATTCTTTAGTATAAGTATCTCCCCACACATTATTTGGAATATACTTATGGTATAGGACCCAGTTATGTTTGAATTTCATATAGGGATGCCTGGGTGACTCAGTTGGTTGAGTGTCCGACTTTGGCTCAGGTCACAATCTTGTGGTCTGTCAGTTGACACTAGCATCGGGTTCTGTGCTGACAGCTCAGAGCCTGGAGCCTGCTTCGGATTCTATCTCCCTCTCTCTCTGCCCCTTCCCCACTTGCACTCTGTCTCCCTCTCTCAAAAGTAAATAAATATAAAAAATTTTGAATTTCAGATAACTTTAACTAAGTATATCCCAAATTTGTGTGGGATATACTTATGCTAAAATGTATTTGTTGTTTATATTATTTGTCATAAGTTCAAGTATAATTGAATGCCTTTTGTTATTTGCTAAATCTAGTAACTCTATGATACATGTATTGAAATTCCTGTTCTTTCTTTTTTTAATGTTTATTTATTTTTGAGAGACAGAACATGAGTGGGGGAGGGGCAGAGACAGAGAGGGAGACACAGAACCCAAAACAGACTCCAGGCTCTGAGCTGTCAGCACAGAGCCCAACGCAGGGCTCGAACTCGAGATCAGTGAGATCATGACCTGAGCTGAAGTCAGAGGCCCAACCGACTAAGCTACCCAGGCGCCCTCCTGTTATTTCTTACAAGTGACTTTTCTTTGGTGTTCTCTTGGTATAGTACAGTTGGAGCTGAGAGCAGTGTTTTGAAATCCTATGTGTGGGGAGGTTACACCTGAGATCTGTGAATGTGAAAGATGAACAGCAGAGGGGCGCCTGGGTGGCTTAGTCGGTTAAGCGTCCGACTTTCGCTTAGGTCATGATCTCGCGGTTCGTGGGTTCGAGGCCCACGTCGGGCTCTGTGCTGACTGCCAGCTCAGAGCCTGGAGCCTGTTTCAGTCTGTGACTCCCTCTCTCTCTGACCCTCCCCTGCTCACGCTCTCTCTCTCTCCTAGAAATAAATAAAAATAATAATAATAATAAAATAAAAAAAAAAAAAAAAGAAAGAAAGATGAACAGCAGAATTTAGATGAGGGCTTAGTAAACTTTTTCCATAAAGGGCCAGAGAGGAAAATTATAGTCTCTGCTGACCTGACTCACCTCTGTAGCTGTAGCACATGAAAGTGTATGGGTATAGCCGTGTTACAGTAAAACTTTATTTGCAAAAACAAGCTGGGGACTGGCTGGATATATGTATATATAGTGTGCTGACCCCTGGCATGGACTATGGATTGAACTGCCGGGGTTCAAATCCAGGCTGTGCCACTTTCTGGTCTGGGTGATCTCAGGCGAGTCACCTCACCTCTCTGTGCCTGGGTGTCCTTGTCTGTAAAATGAAGAGGATAGCCCACCCCCTCAGGGCTGCTGTGATGATTCATTCAAGGCAATGCTTAGGTAAAGGTGTTACAAGGGTGCCCCTAGCACACAGGGCATGTGCCATCAGGGTCTGTTAAGTAATCTCAACTCAAGGGGCACCTGGGGGCCGCAGTGCGTTAAGCGTCTGACTCTTGGTTCCGGCTCAGGGCATGATCTCACGGTTTGTGAGACTGAGCCGCGAGTTGGGTTCTGCACTGACAGTGCAGAGCGTGCTTGAGATCCTCTCTCTCCCTACCCCCACTCTTTCTCTCTCTGCTCCCTGTCTCAATATATAAATAACCATTAAAAAAAAATAATCTCAACTCAGGAGAGTAAAGAGGTGTTACAACATTATCTGCTATAAAAGAGGGACATTGCTGCAGGGGCAGGGGGGTGACGGTTGGGTGGTTTAGTTGGTTAAGCGTCCGACTTCAGGGCAGGTCATGATCTCGCAGTCCATGGGTTCGAGATCCACGTTGGGCTCTGTGCTGACAGCCAGCTCAGAGCCTGGAGCCTGTTTCGGATTCTGTGTCTCCCTCTCTCCCTGTCCCTCCTTGCTCATTCTCTCTCTCTCTCTCTCTCTCAAAAATAAATTAAAACATTAAAAATTTTTAAAAAAATAAGAGGGACATGAGGCCTTGTGGGATGTGAAGTCTAGTGCGTTCCAGAAGGCTGGGTTAATGACATCTCTCCTCTCTGGACCTTTTTTTTTAAATTTAAGTTTATTGTATTTATTTTGAGAGAGAGAGAGAGAAAGGGCATGAGTGGGAGGGGGCAGAGAGAGAGAGTCCCAAGCAGGCTCGGTGTCATCAGTGTGGAGCCTGACAGGGGGTTCGATCTCACAGACTGTGAGATCATACCCCGCGCTGAAGCCGGGAGTCAGACGCTTAACCGACGTGGGACCCCAGGCGCCCCTTGCCTCGCTGGATGTCTGACATCTCCAGAGTGGGCTGGAAGCCCCACCTCAAAGGTGAGCACATCAAGTCAATAAAATGCTCTAGAACTATCTAAAGCAAATGCACATCCCAGGGGGCGCCCAGTGATCCCCCCCCCATTGATGCGTGTGTGCAAAGGGACGTGACGAGCACTTACCCCGGGTCAGTTTTGCAGTTTTGCATGTACTAAGTCATTTAGTCCCTGTAACTAGCCTTGATGTAGGGTATTTATCAGTATCACCATTTTATAGATGAGGAACATGTCCAGAGAGGTTAAATAACTTGCCCAAGGTCACACAGCCAGGAAGCTGCAGGGCTGGGATTTGAACCCAGGCCTTCTGGCCTCACAGCCCTTGCCAAGCCATGGGGAGGGCAGGGGATTGCTCATGTTCTTTTGCATCTTTTGGGCATTTAAACACATCAGTAGGTTAGCTATTTTAGAAATACATGTCATGACATTTGAAAAGTAATTTGTGAGGGGTGCCTGGGTGGCTCAGTCAGTTAAGCATTTGACTTCGGCCCAGGTCATGATCTCATGGCTCATGAGTTCGAGCCCCCATCAGGCTCTGTGCTGATAGTTCAGAGTCTGGAGCCTGCTTCAGATTCTGTGTCTGGCTCTCTCTCTGACCCTCCCCTGCTCACACACTCTGTGTCTCTCTCTCAAAAATGAAAAACGTTTAAAAAAATTTAAAAAACAATAACAGAGACGGGATTGGCAAAAAATTACAAAGGAATAGGAAGAAGAGATGGGTGGTAGCTCTTTCTGCCCAAAGGTTTCATTTCCATGCTTTAATAAAAGGAACTTTTTTGCACCAAAAAATAAAAAAGAGAGAGAGAGAGAAAACAGGACAGGAGCCAGCAAGAGCAGCCTCAGAATAGAAACTCCTTGGTGGGGGGAGTGTTAGGGTTTTCCTTGGGTTCGGCTATGATTGGGGCTCCCCAAGGCATTTCTGGGGCATGTGTTTCCCTTAAATATTTTTCTAAGTTTTATTTATTTATTTTGGGAAAGACAAAGACAGAGCCAGTGGGGAAGGGACAGAGAGAGAGAGAGAGAGAGACAGAGAATCCAAAGCAGGCTCCGTGCTGCCTGCGCAGAGCCTAATATGGGGCTCGAACTCATGAAACCAGGAGATCCTGACCTGAGCAGAAACCAAGAGTCAGACGCTTAATTGACTGAGCCCCCCAGGCGCCCATTTCCTGATGGCAGGCTGGGGGCCTGGACCCCAAATGTGAGCCCAGGAGCAGGAAGGCAGGACCAGGAGAGATTGGACACTGGGAGGCGAATCCGGCAAGGGAGGGGGAGGTTCCCTGGGGAAGGCGCTGGAGGACCAGGAGACTGGCCCTGTTAGGCTGACCCTGACATCAAAACCCTGGGTCCAGGGTTGTGGGGGGAGGGGGAAGTGGGGAGCAGGCTCCTCGGGGCCCTCACTCACAGCAATCACGATGTCCCGCATGTGAGGGAATTCCTCGGGGTGCAAGAAGGCAGTCAGCTCCTCCCGAGTGGCCATGGAGTCCCCGTCCTGGTCCGCCACCCGGAAACGCCGCTCGTCTCGAGCCAGCATCTTCTTGTAGGTTTCCGCGTCCTCTACATCGTGAAACTCTTCACCTGGGGAAGGAAGGGGCTATCGCGGTCAGCTGTGCTTTAGTGGCGGGAACACGAGGCAGGCCGAGGGCAAAGGCAAGGGATGCAACTCAGTGGAGTCAGGGCAGGAAGACCTCACAGAACCCATATTAATTAATATATATTCATTATTTGCATATATTAGCTACCTTGTCGTGAGAGCTTATGCTAAGTTCTTTACTTACAAATTGCATTTAATCCCCCCCCACACACACACACAAGTAAAGGGAATTCTTTCATTTATTCATGCTTTATGAAGGAGAAAACAGATTCCCGCCGAGAGGAAATAACTGGCCCAAAGTCATAGGGCAGGAATGATGAACTTGAAGTTGACACTGGCCTGTGGGGCCCCAAGGTCACCCTCTGGTGCAGGAGGTTATACTGACTCAGGCTACAGGACAGAGAGGAGAGGAAGGGCATTCTCAACAAAGGGAACAGCATGAGTGGAATGTGGAGATTTGAAGAGCATGGTAAGTTCAGGGAAACTGAGGAAGATCCACATGGCTGGCCAGAAAATGCGGAAAAGGAACGCCAGAGCGTTGAGACAGGTTGAGTTGCTGGGAATCTCCTTTGGGGGCTCTGGGAAGCCATGAAGGGCTGTGAGCAGGGGAAGGTCAGGGTTTGTATGAGGGACAGGCTGGAGGAGGAGTGTGAAGTGAGGGTTGGGGAGGCAGAGAACAGGAGCTGTGGGGGTCACAGGGCTGGGGCAATGGGGACAGAGAGGTACATTTACCATGTCCCCAGCCAACCAGGGGACAGGGTAAATGGATTGGGGGTTCTCTGGATGAGAGGTCGGGTATCAATGGTCAGGGTGACAGGGCATGGGAGGTAGATGTCCCAGGCTGAGGATCCCCAGTCACGGGGTTACAGAGGTCGTGGCTGCCACCGGGAGAAGCCAGAGATCAGAGACTGGGAGTGTCAGGGTGAGGGGGTACTACAGGTGGGTAGACCCTGCTCAAGAGTTAGAGGTCAAAGATTATAGGGATTCTGTTTAACAGGCTAAAAGGTTCTCAGGATGAGGCTGTCAAAACGGTCAGGGTCCGATGTGTGTGGGGAGCGGGAGTCGGGGTCTCGCCGCGTACCGGGCTCGTAGTGGCCATAGGTGGCGTTGCGCAGCTCCTCCCAACCCACACGCCCGTCGCGGTCCGTGTCGTACGTGTTCCAGGCCGCGCTCACCGAGTCCCGTATGTGCCGCTGCTGCGTGTGCGCGATCCAAGCGCGGAGCTCGGCCAGCGACACCCAGCCGTCCCCATCCCCTGCGCGGTCCATGCGGTCCACTATGCGCCTGCGAGTCGGGGCGGGGCACACGTCAGTCCCGGACCCCGCCCACCCAGGAGTCCCGCCTGCGCCCGGGCTCCGCCCCTTGGGCACAGCCACGCCCCCACTCGAGACACACCCCCGATAGCGGTGAAAGCGCGGTCCCAGAGCCGCCCTCACGATGAGGGGAGGCACGTGTCAATCCCACGACCGCGCCCAGCGCGGGGCTTCGTCCCCTCAATCCTGGCTCCGCTCCCAGAGGCTCTCACGCCCTCCCCGAGACCCTGCGGGCCTACGGCTGGAGCCGCGGTCCTCCACAAGCCCGGGTTGGGGGAATGACCTACGACAATCCAGGGTCACACCCTCCACTCTAACTCTGCCTCTCGACCCTCACTTGCTCCATCTGTCCGAGCTGGGGTGGGGTCAGGGAGCGAGGCCTCACACCGCGCCCCTGGCCCGCAAGGCCCCTGTCCCAAGGCTCTCTCTGAACTCTAATGGCCAAGGCCACATACACACCTGACCTCTTGCCGTTTTAGGGCCCACGGGCCGTCAGGCCAACCCTGCCCCGCCCTCCTGGCTGCACGGCCCATTTCAGGTGCCTCTCCCTACAGCGTCGCCCTATGCTGCGTGCCGCACCTTTCCCCTACCTTTCCCAGACTGCATCAGGCCCCTGAAGGCCCTTCCTCACACACTGTCTCTCGCGCCGCTCCAGTCGGATCCCAGGCCCCCGCTCCCCTCCGCTAGCCACTCCTCGCCACCGGTTTGGGACCTTGCCCCCACAGGCAGCGCTCCTCTCGATCACCACCGTCCTTTAGTCCCGCAACCCAGCTCCCTACGTGGACTCAGAGATGTCCATATCCAGGTCGCCGCCCCCTCCTGCTCTGGACTGTCTCTGCTCTGATCGGTCTGGGGCTGGAGTCCCCAGGACTCACACCCTCCCTCACTGAGGTCCAAGCTGTTGTTGAGAGCGTGGGCTCCACGCTCCCAGGTAGTCTAGGCTCAAATCCCGCTACCTCCTCTTGCTATCTGTGTGACCGTGGGGAAGTCACTTTAAAAAACGCACACACATGGGGCACCTGGGTGGTTCAGTCGGTTAAGCGTCTGACTTCAGCTCAGGTCATGATCTCACAGTTTGTGGGTTCGAGCCCCGCATCAGGCTCTGTGCTGACAGCTAGCTCAGAGCCTGGAGCCTGCTTCGGATTCTGTATCTTCCCCTTGCTCTGACCCTCCCTTGCTCATGCTGTCTCTCTCTCAGAAATAAATAAGAAAACAATAAAAAAAATTTTTAAAACACACACACAAAACTCTCTGTGCCTCAGTTTACCCCTCCGTAAAATGAGGAATAAATACTAGATCCTACCCTACAGACTGGTTGTGGGGATCGCCTAAGTGAACCCTTGTGATGCACTTAGAACGCTGCCAGTACTGTAGTGAGGGCCATTCCAAACGCGTTAGCCTGTCGCTCCCTTTCCTCCTCCATCCCTCCTTCACCCAAGCCTGTCCATGCAGACTCCCAGCCAGCAGGCCCAGTCACCACCACTGTCTCCACCCTGATCTGGTCACCTTCGTCTCTCGTCTCCCATCTGGACTACTCTAGTTGATTCCTCACTGGCTCCCTGCTTCTTGCTCTCTATAGTCTGTTCTCCCAAAGGTAACCAGAAGGATTCTGTTGAAAGCTAAGTCAGGTCAGGTCCTCCGTCTGCCTAGAGCCCTCCTTGGCTGTCATCTCACCCAGAGAAAAGCTGAAATCTTCACTATGGCCTCAAAGGCCCTGGGAACTTTGTTCTCTCTCTGCCACGACCTCCCACCTTCGCTCACGGGGTTCTAGCCACACGGGGCCTCACTGTTGCTCAAATATCAAGCCTGCTTCTGCCTCAGGGCCTTTGATTTACATTCCCTCTGCCTGGAATGCTATTCTCCCATATAACCACATGGCTCAAATATTACCTTCCCCCTGAGGCCTCCCCTGACCTCCCTGTTTAAAACTACAACCCTGAATCCTCCCCTCCATCTCTCTCCTACCCCAGGCGGGCTCGGCTTTCCTCTGGGCTGAGCTGGTCGAACTCCTTGGCCACTTCCCGTCCCAGGAAAGCTTCATGGTCGTACTGGAAGTTTCCGTGGGAGTCATCATGTGGAGCCTCGCTCAGGGGGGCCGCCTGGTGCACCCTCCCCTGGCCGTGAGGGCCTGCGTCGGGGGATGGCTTGCCTTGGGCCCCGCGCCTGAGCAGCAGCAGTAGCAGCAGAAGTGATGGACGCCACATCATCAGTCCCTAGGGAGTGGTGGAGGCTAGGAGTCAGGGGTCACAGGGGAAAGGATAGAGACAGGGCAGAAGAATGCGGGGGAGGGGGAGAGCGTGGAGAGACGGAAGACAAGACAGAGAGATGATAGCTGGCCGCAAAGCTTAGGGCTCAAGAAGGGGAGCGGGATTCTCGGAGGTAGGGACTGAATCTTTTGAGGGAGTCCCAGATTGGTCCCAGAGCCGCTGGTGGGGAGTTTCAAGCGGGAGACGTGGCGCACTTCCCACGCCAAGTATGGGATGGGGTCGTGGCCAGAGAGAAATCATGCAGGCTCTCAGGCGTCCTCTGCAGTCCGGACTCAATTCCTCGACCCGAGCGAACCCGAACCGCCCTCCCTGGGCAGGCCACCCGTTCTCGCCTCCCGTTACCAGACAATCCAGCTTCGCTTCCCTCTACACGTTCCGCTCTGCCTTCTCCGTTAAGATGCCCCATTTGGCGGCGCTCCAACCAGGCCCCGCCTCCAGCAGCTCAGAGTCCCTCCCTCCGACCAATGAGCGTCCGTGAAGACCCCCCCAAGGGGCGGGGCCCGTGAACTCCGGGAGGGCCGCGGACGCCCCACGCCACGTCCACAGAGAAGAGCGGGGGCAGGCGGGGTGAGCGTCCCCGGAGAGACGCAGAGCCGGAGAACTACAGCTCCCGGCAGGCCTCGGGGCGCCCTGCCCGACCACCCGCAGCTCTTCTATTTCCGAAGCCTCTTGGGAGAGGATTGGTTTTTTTCTTTTGGAAGGGGAAGGTGTATTCTTTTAAGTTTTGTTTGGTTGTAAGTAGGCTCCATGCCCCACATGGGACCCGAACTCACCACCGAAGATCAAGAATCACATGCTCCACCGACTGAGCCAGCCAGACACTCCATGTTTGTTTCCTAGTTTATGTATGTATGTAATCTCAACACCCAAGGTGGGGCCCAAACTCACCACCCCAAATTCAAGAGTCTCATGCTCTTCCAGCCGAGCCATCCAGGCGCCCCAGGAGATGTATTTTTATCTTTCCCTTTGTCAGCATGGTTTAAGAAAGAAGGGAACCAAGGGGCCCGAAAAGGCATCCATTTCTCTCAAAGCGGAAACGATGCTTCTCTTCCGCTCCGCGGAGGAGTCAGGTCAGACTCCAGCCAAGAATTCCTCAAAATGCCTGGCACAGTGCAGGCATTCAGTATCTGTGAAGCTTATGAATGAAAAAAGACATGACTCGGTATAAAACTGGTATATTCCACGGCGGCAACATGTCGGCCTTAGGAGAGTTTGGAAGGCCGGGGCGATTTACCGCCCCCCCCCCCTTCCCCAGGCCCATTCTCTTACCTCCCCGGCCTAAAAAGTTGAAATGATAAGAACACAGTGGTTTGGGCCCAAATTCGTGTTTATAAGTGGAGGTGGAAAAGAGCCATAATCATCAGGAGGGGAAACTGAGGCAGACCACAGAAGGAGAAATCCAGAAGGTCATCGGGCCCAGGACTCTTTCTGGAGGCTCAGAAATACCAGGATTCCAGGAGGTCTCACAGCATAAAAGGGGCCTGACTACATTAGCTGGTAGTAGCCAGGTCAGGGGGTGATCAGGCAGCTGCTGAGAATGCATTTCCATCCTAAGAGTCAGCATCCTTGGGCAGGCCAGGAGTGGGCAGGAGGGCCCCTACATCGTCCCCACGGAGAGAGATCCAAGGGGCTGCGGAAAGAGGCAGAGGGGAGGTCATCAGAAGCTCTGAAATCCTCCGGGTTCCTGACTGTCCCTCCCCCACGTGCATGTGTCCCTCTGTCTTTCCCAGTCTCTGTCCTACTTCACAGGTTTCTGTCCCCCTCTGAGTCTCCGTCTCCTCCCTCCAGGCCCCACCTCTCTGAGTCTCTGTTCCTTTTTGTCTACATCTGTCCCGCCAGGACCGCGTCCCTGTCTCTTCTGGGGTTTCTGCTCCTGTCTCAGAGGCTCTTCCGTCTTCCTGCTCCAAACCTGGTAGCCCGTTTCTCATCCTCCTCCATAGCAGAGCTCCGCCTGCAGCCACTGCCGTGAGCAGTAAGAGGCCGATGACAATTCCAACCACTGGCATCGAGGATTTGGCTGGTGATTCTGCAGCCAGAGAATAATGTGAGATGCTGAGGGGACCCTCCAGTCCATCTGAGTCAGGACAGGGGGTCTGGGGGTTCTCAGTGCCCCCTCCCCAGCCTCAGAGGTCCCAGCACCAAGTCCTGCCAGCCAGCGGATGTTCTAGGCCTGGGCAGAACGCCCCCTTGTTGCCTCGAGGACCTCTAGCAGCAGGGTGCGTGAGATTCTGACTCAGAGAGGCAGGCCAGGCACAGGGCAGCAGCAGGTCAGGTTCAGAGGACTGGCAGTAGCTGAGCAGTAGGTGGACAGTCTCAGGGACGACTGGCAGCAGCAGGCAGCAAATGGCCAGGCTAGCAGCGGCAGGAGGGAGGTGGTACGCCTTGCGGAGGACCGTCCATAGTGGTTAGTGAGGGGCCGGACTCGTGAGTTCCGCCCAGCAGCAGCAGGATGGAAGGCAGATAGACTGGGGGAGGCCAAGCAAGACGGGACGGAAGGCTGTCAGGCTTTGGAGGGAGCGGCAGTAGCAGGGCACCGGGCAGTCAGACTCCGCCGGGCAGCAGCGTGGTGGAACCCAGTCACCGGGGGGGGCATCGCTACAGAAGGGGGGACCGGAAGCGTCGTGGCGCCGCAGGCCCTCACCCAGCTCCACGGTCAGGGGCTGCGGCAGCCCCGCGTGCTGCACCAGGCAGCGGTAATGGTGCTCCTCGCCGCTTTTGACTGTCAGTGAAGACCAGGCGTGGAAGGAGCCGTCGCCGTTGGGGCCAAAGTCGCCGGAGCCGGAGCCGGCCGCCAGCCCGTTGCGGAGGAATCGCAGCTGCAGCTCCGGGGGGTAGAAGGAGAAGGCGCTGCAGGTGAGCACAGAAAAGCCGGGGCTGCCTGGACGGGCCTTCAGGCGCATGGAGGGTGGCTCTGCAGACGAACAGGCAGACGGGCCTAAGCCTCTAGCCCCTGAGCCCCTAGGGCTGGACCTGGGGAGGGGCTGGATGGGGCCACACCGCGGCCTCCGTTCCTTCCACCACGCCCAGCACGTCCCACCAGGAGCCCTGACCTGTGCTGAGCCTGAGAATACAGTAGTAATGGTAAAGGGACCTTCCTGAGGGGGACAGACAGCCAAGCTATCCGCAGTGAGGGCGGCCACCTCTCGTCCATTCTGTCCCGCACCAGACACACACACAACAGAACATCAGCCGCGTGCCAGACACTCTTCCAAGCACTGCGGACACAGCAGTGGACAGACAGACAAAAGCCCTGGTCTTCGCGGAGCTCGCCTTCTAAGGAGGGGAGAGAGGCAAATACTTGTGTACAAATAAACGAATGGGAAATAGGCCGTGAAAGGGCTGTGATGAGGCAAAATAAGGCAGATCCTAATGTCATTAAAAGATAGTAAGAGGGTATTATGTCATATATCGTACCAGCCCATTTGAAATTTAAATGAGCTGGTGGCTGCAGTTGGTTAAGCATCGGACTCTGAATTTCGGCCCAGGTCCTGATCTCATGGTTTGTGAGATCAAGCCCCGTGTGGGGCTCTGCACTGATGCATGGAGCCTGTTTAGGATTCTTTCTCCCTCTCCCTCTGCCCCTCCCCTGCTCGCTCGCTCTCTCTCAAAATAAATAAACTTAAAAAATGTTTTTTTTTAATTTGTTAACAAAATAAATGAATTGGACAAATTCCTAGAAAAGACAACCTTCCAAAACTGACACAAGAAAAAATAAAAAATTTAAGTAGTCCTATAATGATTTCACAATTTTAATCCATAATTTAAACTTTTCAACAAATAAATTTCCAGGTCCAGGTGACGTCATTGGCGAATTCTTCAAAACAACCAAGAAGCAGATCTACATCTAATTTTTCTTTAAGTTTATATATTGATTTGGAGAGAGAGAGGGAGAGAGTGTGCACGCATGTGAGCAGGGGAGAGGCAGAGAAAGAGAGGGATAGAGAGAGGGAGAATCCCAAGCAGGCTCCATGCTGTCAGTGCAGAGCCCGATGTGGGGCTCAGTCTCACGAACCGTGAGATCATGACCTGAGCTGATCAAGACCTGGACACTTAACCGACTGAGCCATCCAGATGCCCCAATTTAGGAAAAAGGCTCTATTTCAGTTCAGTGGGGGAGACAGGATGGAGGTGCTCTTGCAACAAATTATGCTGGGTCGACTGGAGTTCTGGAGGAACAAATGAAACTTGACCCCTTGCGTCACACCATTACATGCGCCATCAACTCAAGATGTATCGTACAGCTGTATATGAAAACTACTGGGGCGCCTGGGTGGCTTAGTCGGTTAAGCGTCCGACTTTCGCTTAGGTCATGATCTCGCGGTTCGTGGGTTCGAGCCCCGCGTCGGGCTCTGTGCTGACTGCCAGCTCAGAGCCTGGAGCCTGTTTCAGAGTCTGTGACTCCCTCTCTCTCTGATCCTCCCCTGCTCACACTGTCTCTCTCTCTCTCTCTCTCCTAGAAATAAATAAAACATTAAAAAAATGCATTAAAAAAAAAAGAAAACTACTGATCAACCAAGCTTCTAGAAGAGCTTGAAGAACACCTTCATAACTTTGGGACGGGAAAGATTTTCTAAAGAGAACACACACCAGAGCTATAGGTAAAAGATGGATGAGTTGATCTTCATAAAACTTAAGAACTTCTTTTTTTTTTTTAATTTTTTAATGTTTTATTTCTAAAAGAGAGATAGCATGAGCAGGGGAGGGGCGGAGAGAGAGGGAGACACAGAATCCGAAACAGGCTCCAGGCTCTGAGCTAGCTGTCAGCACAGAGCCCAATGTGAGGCTTGAACCCACGAACCATGAGATCATGATCTGAGCCGAAGCCGGATGCTTAACTGACTGAGGCCACCCAGGTGCCCCCAAAATTAAGAACTTCTGTTCATCAAAAGGTTTGGTCAAGAGAGTGAAAAGGCAAGGTGCACACCAGAAGACGTTATTTTCAACAGAACCATCTGACACATCCAAAGGACTCATGGCCAGAATATACTAAGAACTCTAATAAGAAAAAAAAAAGATAAAAATTCCAATTTAAAACTGGCCAAAATGCTCAAACAGCCTCTCCAAAAGGGTGAACACCCAACTGGCCAACAATGTGAGAAAGTGTACTCAACATCACCAGTTATCACCCCATTTATTTGCTTTATCAGATTGTATCTGATATATACAGACATAGATATAGATATAGATATATTTGTTTAGTAGGCTTCATACCCAGCAAGGAGCCCAACACAGGCCTTGAACTCGTGCCCCTGAAATGAAGACCTGAGCTGAAATCGAGAGTTGGGATGCTCAACCAACTGAGGCCCCCAGTCTGATTTTATCTGGTTTTGCCAAATGATGTATACAATTCTCATTTACCATCAGAAACATGAAAAACACACCACAGTAAGATTCCACCACACAGGGGTGCCCGGGTGGCTCAGTCAGTTAAGCGTCGACTTCAGCTCAGGTCATGATCTCACGGTTCATGGGTTTGAGCTCCGTGTTGGGCTCTGTGCTGACAGCTAGCTCAGAGCCTGGAGCCTGATTCGGATTCCGTGTCTCCCTCTCTCTCTGACCTTCCCCTGCTCGTGCCATCTCTCTCTCTCTCAGGAAAAAAAAAAAAAAAAAAGATTCCACTACACACCCGCCATAATGGTTACAATGAAAGACAGATAATAGCAAATTCTGGCAAGCTTGTGAAGCAACTGGAATTCTCTAATGTAGCTTGTGGTATTATAGAATTGGCTCAACCTCTTTGAGAAAATGTTTAGCACT